ACAAACAGCTGCGTTCATTTATTGTTAAAAGTTAATCGGTTGGTGAACTCTAGTGACCGATAACTTGATTTTAGTAAATCTAACAGTATTCAAAAGTATTTCTTTGCAATAAAAACAACTGAAGGCTATATAGTGTATAATCGTAGCATGCATGCTAATATAAAACATAGCTGTTACTCGCGGATTCGTCTACGAGAAATTAAAAATCTCCATCTTACTGAGCAAAAACATAGCTTTTTAATGGTGAAGGATTTTTCTGAAGCGGCCCAGTACTTTTTGAGTTATTTCAATACATGCAAATATTAAAAAATACGAATCTTTCCACTTTATAATAATACTAGCTGTAGCTCGCGACTTCGTCTGCGTGAAATAAAAAAATAAAAACATATGTTACTCACTGGTAACGTAGCTTTTTAATGGTGAAAGAATTTTTGAAATCGGCCCAATAGTTTTTAAGTTATTTCAGTATATACAAAAATGCCAAAACTAAAATCTTGTCTTTTATAATATTAGTTACATATATGGTAGATACACAAAATGGTAGTATTAAACACACTAATGTTGAAACATTCTAACTGCCGACCTCAAAGTTATTAAGGAGAGCTGCTAAGTTTCGATTGAATGTAAGTAATTTTGCGTAGTAGGCAGTCGCTTAACGTTATATAAGCTACAGTTTAATAAAATGGTTCAGTAGTAAAGACAAACGTTTAAAGCTCTGTAATACTAAAACAACAAACAAATCCATTTGTTACTTTATTATTACGGTTAGCGATAGAGTTTTATGAGGGAGTTGGGTGTTTACGTTTGTGGTAAAGGGTCGAAGGCCTAGCGAAAGGTAAACAATGTCGGCCTACTAGTAAAAAATAACAGTAAATTTACTGCTTCCACGAGCATATTTCATGCGTAAGTTAGTTGCAAAGTAATTATCCAATTTTTGAAGACAACATCTTATTTAACATCGACTTGATTTTGTTAATTTCGATAATAATGATTTACAGGCGTCCTTAGAGCGGGCGCACACCTTTGACTAAACCATCGCACAGCAGTTGTGCGATTATTGATTGTTAGAAAAAATCGAGTAGTGTGCGCATCTCCATATAAGTTCATAGGAATCAAAGCGCTACTAGACTATTGTGGGATAGCTTACTCAAAGGTGTGAGCGCTTTTAAATTGATTAATTTATCGTTTAAATTATTGACTAATGTTAGCAAACTAAAAAAGTTTAAACACGACAAGGTAGTCTTTTACTGAAATAAGAAAGCAAAATTACTCGGCAAAACTTTACGATTTCGTTTTTTTAGGCAATTTATTAAAAAAAACCGTCACAGTATCATTAAAATGCCATTTCCAAGCCAAGGTTATGACGAATTGATTACACATTACATGTAACCGGCTCAGAAATACGCAACGGCGATTTGTTTTGGCATATGTCTGATGAAAAAGAAACTTTTATCATTATTACAAAGGTTAATCTTTATTTACAACTAGCTTTCGCCCGTGACTCCGTCCGCGTGCAATTAAAAAAAACAAACGTGAGTAGCCTATTTGTTCTTCCAGACTATCCTCTGCGCCTATGCCAAATTTCATCTAGATCCGTTCAGCCGTTTAGACTACAAACTCTAACATCCATCCATCCATCTAAACTTTCGCGTTTATAATATTAGTAAGACTTCAACTAAACTATATAATCTATTAACGTCTAAAATATTAATTAAATCAGTTTACATTCCATGTCAAAAAACATTAACGATGATTTAAAGCGAACAAGTGCTAATGAAAACCTAAACCGGTATATCCTCGGGCACTAGTGTTCGTGTTTCGAAAGGGACTGCGGGGAATCATCGTACACAACGCACGAGCTTAAAAAGGGACGGGACACTGAAAGAGGATTGATTGACAGAGTAATAATAATAATAATAATAATTTATTTAATTCATGTAACAGAATATTACACATATGATATTTACAGGAACACT